TTAATGGAGCGGGGGGGGGGGGGCCGGGGGGGGGGGGGGGGGGGCGGATCGCTGCTCGGGAACTAACTGGGCATAGGTCAGCGAGTGGTGATCAACTGCATTGTCCATCACTTGTTTTGCATATTCCAATTCTTTTATTATTGTCATCTTGTTATTGTTATTATTATCATTATTATCTTCTTCCTTTCTGTCCTATTAAACTGCCTTTATCTCAACCCATGAGTTTTACTTTTTTTCAATTCTCTCCCCCATTCCACTGGGTGGGGAGGACTGAGTGAGCAGCTGTGTGGTGCTTAGCTGCCGGCAGGGGTTAAACCATGACACCATCTGACCCTCTAAACTGTGCATACAGGCTGCCCAGCACCTTATCAGTTTAATGCTCAAGATCTACTCAAATGCAGCAGTATAAAGTGAGCAGAGCAGCAAAAAAAATCCCAAGACATTCTGTCACTTCCACCACTCCTATTCACAGGCCTGTAGCCATCAATAAAATGGGAAAGTCTCATGTGTACACTTTGAAAAGCCAGCAGAACTCAGAGGTTTCTTCTACCTGGAAGGAAAGATGTGCACCAGCTCCTTATTGCATCAGCCAGCCAGGGAACTGGAGGGAAAAAAAAAAAAAAAAAAAAAAAAAAAAAAGAGAAGGTCTGACTTTTTAAGGGCTGACCATGGCTGCCTCTCATCCACTTATTATAGGCTCTGATTGCCACATTTAGTTCACCACATATTGGGCCTTTAGTTGAATCTCAGGAGAGACTCAAGGTAAGGCAGAGGAGTACAGCATATAAAAGGACTGACTTTGCTGGGGAAGAGAGTAAGAAAAAAAAAAACCCAAACCAAAAAAACCCCAACCTGCAGAGAGGACAGACTACCACTGCAAACTGAATAATACAATCAGTAGCTGCAGGTGGAGAGAGCGAGAAAAAGCAAACACTGACGAAAGTATGCTGAGATACAATATGGAAGAAACTACATGGAACAAAATAAAAAGTGAAAAAGATCTATTAATGTCTACTGTCTTTTTTGACTAAGCTCTCTTTGAGGCAAGGAGTGACTTTTCTTATATCTGTGCACAGCCTCTAGCACAATGGTATGCAACTTACCTGCTGGTTTCCAGAATATACTACAGCAACAGCAAAAAGCAGCAAGAGACTGATGCAGCAAGCCAGCCTGTCCAACAGGTTTTAAGAAATACACAGTTTGTTCAGGAACCAGACTGAATAACATAATGCTTCTAGACCTCTCCAGATAACAACTAAGAGGAGAATAAATTTTCTTCTATATCGGTCAATGAAGCAGTAGTGTCAGGCTGCAATATGCAGTTTGGAAAAAGAGTCAGTCAGATGTGTGCTACTACAATAAGAATCTGTAATAAAACCCAGTCAACCACATCACAGACCAAACTTGTGAGAGTACTCAAGAGAACACAACCATTATTATTATTAATTACAAACAGTACTGTATTTTGGTGGTGGAAATACAGTCTTAAGTTCACCTGAACAGGTATCACATCCCCTGTTCATATCCTGATCAGCCATTACGTTTATAATATAAAGGTGAATGACAGACACCTCAAATCATTAGTCTACTGAATAATAAATAAGGACAGAGTGCTGGAGACATCCCCAGTATGGAAGTGAAATTCATTAAGCAAGCTACTTTGGGAATCTCTGACCTCCTATATGGAGACGAAACACTACACATGCCACAGTAAATATACTGAGCACAACTCAAATTAGTTTTAAAACTTAAAAGAAAAAAAAAAGAAAAAAGGTTTTTCTTCTCACTACACCCTCCCATTCAGCAATACAAGCAGGAGCACTGCTATAGACTTACCAGTCTATCTAAGCCAAATCATTACTTTTGGCTTAAATTTGAAATAAATATCCTGGGCAGTATGGAAAATCTAAGCATTACTTACAGATTCTTTGCCTGTGGACAACTCCATATTCTACACACCTATCAAAAACTGGACAGGTATCACATGCATACATACACACCTAACTTCAAACGTACGCTGTACTGGCCCACATATAGCCAAATATTCAACATAACAGCTACAAATGTTTTTGGAATACTATTACCTGTGTTTATGCCACGGTCAGAAAGATTTTGTAATATACGGTGTGGACCACAGCCAATGTTTTCACTTTTCTACTCTCAAACACACGTTGGTGCCCTTGGCACCATTTTTTTTGGAAATCTTTTTTTCAAATATTACAGGACTGTTATATTTGTTCCATATTTAGGTTAATTGAGTGTTTTGTATAACCTTCTTTACATTGCAGGAAAACCCCAAAGAACAAGGGGAAACAAAACACATAAGCAAAAATCACCAAGTCAAATAACCAGGAAAGATAATTTAAAAATGAGGAAATGCTACTTGCAGAAAACCACTGAACTAGTGAGATATAAAAAGGACAAACATTTAAACCTTGAATTTAGCCCACAATATGGATGGAAATAAGCTCTCTACAACCTTTTTTTTTTTTTTTCTCCCCAAAGTAGATCTACAATACTGAACATATTTCTAAATGCCACATCTTTAACCTCTCTTAACACTTAGACGGATCTACACTGGATCTATCCATAGACAGGAGACTTCTAGAAAATCTTCTTTAAAGTTATGTTTTGTTGCAATCAACTTCTCATTTATTTAAGGTAGTTGCTACTAGAGTTTTGCACAAAGTCAAGTCAGGGACACTCCAAACATCCTTAGAAATGACCATTTGCAATACAGTCAGCAAAACTTAGTCAAGGTACTTCTGTGAACACACACACACATGCAGAAACATTAACATATTTAATACTAAATTATAAAACTTACTGTTGCGCATCCGCAGATCTTTTCCAGCCTCCTTGCAGATCCTGTGAGGTATCTTTCCCAATATTATTTAAGACAGCATCATCTTTATTTACAGAATCCTCTCCTATTCTAGCTGTAGAACAAAGAGGCTCTTCAATTTTTGGGTGCTTTGGCTGCATGTCCTCCAGAAGGGTATTTGTGTTCTGTAAATTCTTTTCACATCTGCTGGGTTCATCTTGGAAGGCGGGGGGTTTAGATTCTACCAAAGAAGATTTTGTTGCAATATTAAATAAGCTTCCAAGAAAATGAAAAAAGCCTTCTCGGGGTTGCTTGTCTTTATCTGATGTTTTGATTCCAGGAGTCAAACTAGGAAGGCTATTAGCCTTTTTCAGCTCCTCCTGGATTTCAGACTTGCTAAGTTCTTCTGTGGAATGGTTCCTCTCTTCATTTTGACAAACCTAAGATAAATACAAGAAGCACATAAAGAAGATGTTTCCTGTCGTTTTCCCACATTCCCAAATTCCTTAATTTTAATTTGGTCCTATGCATTGTAATCCTTTCAGGACATATGTTGTTTAAAGGTTCATTTTAAGATCCGAGTCCTGTGCTCTCTTCTTCTCTTTTTGTAATAAAAAGGTCCCTATTCTTCAAAAAGCTAAAAGGACTACATAGGCTAGAAGATTCACAAAGCAGCTGCTGTGGAAGTAAAGTACAGAAGGACAGATGGAGAACAATTGCTTCAACTGGCAGAAAAAAGCTGAGGAAGAAGCAAGGAACAATTTTTCACACTTCAGACTCTAACCTGCTCAAAAAGCACAGCTTCACGAACAAATCTGTTATGCCCTTGTGAGATGAACAGCTTTCAGCTTGCAAATATAGGCAAGAACACCATAGCAAAACACAAACATACCATAGCCTTTAACGTAGGGTAACCTGCACTTGTAAAAAAACCAGGAGAATCAAGAACAGAATTTGGATAAAACAAACTCAACTCATGTGCCAGAGATTAATTCTACCTGCTATCCTTAGCAACTCCATGTTGCATCCTTTGGCCAGCTTTACTCCAACTCCACAGGCAATTAATTAACCTCACAGCTCTATTTCCAAATCTATTTGCAGTCTCACAGAGCTCTATACTTTACCATGCAGTCAGACAAAGTCCTACACACCACTACCGCTGCACCCATGACCTTCTGAACTGCCTATCAGCTGTATCAGCTAACTGAAAATAATTAGTCATAAGGCAAGGCTTCACCTCATTTAAACCACCTGTTCACTTCTTCCCTCAGTTCAGCTGAGCATCTACTGCAGGGGCAAGACAAGCTCTGCTCCTCACCAATTTATGCCTTTGAATTTCCTTGGTGTCAGCTTCTCTCACAGATCCAAGAACCACTGCCCAAACCCATGCTACTTCTGCCAAGACCATCTGCCCAAAACCATGATGCAACTTCACTGGTAGGCTTCACAACCACCACATGTAACCACCTTTTCAGCTTCACAATCTGCAAATGCTTTTTCCCTGGACTAAAATTTTCTGGTAAGCACCTCGTTCCCATCTTCACCCTTTGTAGTGGATTATACTATTGCTGCCTATTTCATATTTACAGTGCAATCCTTGTAATTTCAATCCCTGTTTCAACCCAGTTTATTAAAACTATTAGAATAAAGTTACCCTAGCTATTCTTCGATGAAATTTGTTCTGCTCAACAGGAGTGGAAAAGGAGAACATGAACAAAAAGTTCTATGCAAATTTTAGTTGTGTCAACAGTACGTTTGGAGAAGAGTAATTGTTTCAAACCTACCCATCCGATCTAAGCAGAAAGCCACTATTTTCATTAGGTCACTAATCCTATTCTGACTTGAAGATATATTTGTTTCAAGTAACCTAAAATAAGCAAGTAGACTTATTTGTTAATAGTCCACCTAGGATCATGTTAATTATGAAAAAAGTGTTTTAATGAACACAGTTTAATCCTTGGGGAACAGCAATTTCTTAAAAACTTGCAAGTTATAGTTAGTGATACTGGAGCAGTGGTCTTTAATCTTCAAGGAATGTTTTTTTCACCTTTTTCATAAAAGAGTAGATGCAATTGCTTAATATTAAAGTGATCAGATGTATGTATTGAAAATTGAATTGTTTATGTGAGCATAGAAATTGAATGGCACAATTGTCCTTGAGAAATCCATACAACCTCTATTTTCTTCATACAGGCAAGACACTTAAACAACCACATTAAACTTTTATGTAAACTTTCAAAAGTGGTCTAAGTCAAACTCTAGGCTTTTTTCACCCTACCTGTGATAAATCCCACCTGCTTCCCCACATACTGCACTAGTCAATAGCTGATGCATCACAAAGGGATGTAGTCACCCCTGTAGTACTCAGGGATTTACTACTTTACAAGTCAACTCTACCCAAATTCACCCCTGGAAATGAAGACGACAACAGTGCAGCTTACAGACGTACCACAGTGCTGGCTGGTATCTTCAGTACTAGGCAAACTATGCCAGTAACATGCAAACCTGGGATGAATTTCTTGAACAATTAACTTTGTCTCATAGGAACCAAGTACTTTGCATAAGGAAATATAAAACAGAAACAAGAAAAAAATTAATTTCCCAAACTTCATAATACATGAATGATTCACCATAGTCAGCTTCGAAGTTCTGCTATCATAGTTTCTTCTTTCACTTTGACTAATACCTCAGCATTCTTCAATACCAGTTTTTGATTCAACTTAAGCAAGGGAAGGCATTTCTCCCTTGTTCTGTGATTAGTACCGTTCACACAGATTTGTCAGATTTCAAAGAGTATCTCAGTGCAGGAAATGCACACAAATCTTATTATTTTCTCTGCAGATATAACCATTATAGGCTATAAGCATTTATATTAATTCCTACAATATCTATGAAGTTAACAGCTAAATGCATTAACTACAAAAGAAAATATTAAATTCAAAACTTGTCAACAGTTTAGTATTTTTTGTTGTTTTTTGTTGTTATTGTTTGGGGTTTGTTTGCTTGAATTAATTTGTATTCAGGAACTAGTGTGTTTTTTCCAATTAGGAAATGAGACTTCAAATATGGCTATACTCTACATGTGAAATTCTTCCCCTAGCAGCTCAGAGACATAACAGTTGTAAAGACTGTGCTTCTTATTTGTAAGCATAAATCATGCCCTGCATGAAAAGCTGTTCTGTAGTCTCCGTTTCCAGAAACGGAAATCTATTTAGACTTCCCTTTCTCTTTAATCTTCCTTTCCTTACATAACTTTTGGTAAATCAAAAGAACAGGAAGTTTTAATATGAAAACGTCCTTCCATACCTTGAACCATAAACAGTGTCTTGCATAAAAAAAAAGCCCTGGAGAATGCTTACACTGTGGTTACTTGAAGATACACATGGATATTAAGTCCTAACACAGAAACTACACAAATCCCTTCTTCCCTTCAACATAAGCAACCCTACCCTCCGTATATTCTCCCTCCCGCTCCACTTTGCCTTTGCTATAAAAGACAGCATGAGCTATTGGTGTTTTATCGTTTGCCCATAAAACCTCAATTCAAAGTTTGAGCCACTGTTTAGGTATTATACAAACAAAACTGTTCTGCTACAGATTTTGAAGTTTGTATTTTAAGATAATGCTATATTCAAATTACTGAGACAAAAGCACATGATCTGTAAAGCCAGTAAGCCTTTAACACAGCAGGAGCCTTCAGGCACAAGTGCCTGACAAACACAGCGGGATGATGGCAATTCCACAAGGCAGTATCGTGATAACTGTCACTTATTTCCCATGCCTCCCTCTGAGCTCATCTCTGACAGAAGCCCCCAGCAAACACGCAGGAAAAAAGGCAAGGGCATAGGGTATACGCAAAGTAATCCCTTCCCTGGTATATCCCACCAGCTTTCAACAGTCAGGGCCTTTAGTTGACCTTGACAGAGCAGCTGCATCTGTGTCACAATTAGGCCTGAGCAGTCCGATATTCACAATACTGGAAGAATACCAGCGACTCTTGTATTAGTTACACTTCATGCCATCGGTTAAAAAAAAAAAATAAAAAAATTTCCTCTTCCAGTGTCATGGTAGTCTGAACGGCGGTTTCTCCATGTTTTACCATGCAAACAATAGTTTTTGGATAAAAACCTACCTGCCAGATCCCCTTTGAGATCCTTGCTGTAGTGTTGTCTTTCTGCTCCTTTTGTATACAGACTGTCATCAGTTTTCCCCTTGCCTCCCCTTTCCCACCCTCTGTGAGCTTTCCTGCTTGTGACATGCTTCATAAAGCTTTCATTAGCTTTTATTCCTTTAGCAACTCGTTACTCAAAGTTTCACTGGGCAAGCCCTGGGTAACCTGGCCTGACCTTACAGCTGAGCCTGCTTTAAGCAGGAGGTTGGGCTAGATGACATCCTGGGGTCCCTTCAACCTGAATTATCCTATGGTCCTCTGACCTCACATGCAATGAGGCTGGTGCAGCGGGGAAGCTTGGCAGAGCGTGAAACAAGATTATGACTTAAATCAGGTGACTGAAGAGACTGCAGCGATAACTGAAGCCATATCTACTGTGCAGTCAGGTAGCGTGGTCTCATCTTGCTGGAGCAACCACTGCAGAGAAGCTCGGCAGCTGGGACTCGGAGGACAAGCCCAGGATGTCATGTCTCAAGTGTGATTCTTATCTGAGCTAATTTATTCAGCGATAAACTAGGTACGTTTTCCAGGCTGTAATCCACTCCTGACTGCAGCGCAGACATACGCCCAAAGCCTAACTGCACCTACACAGTCAGGCACAGGGCTTGCTACCAGTGTGAACAGCCCCCTCGAAGGGCAGAGAGCAGCTCCTGCAGCACAACAGCACCCTGAAGAGGGACTGCTTTGCCAGGTTTGCTTCACCTCCCGTACCAGCTGGGAACGGCCGCCCTGGTAGCCACTGTCTCTCAGCAGCCGGGTGGCAGAAGTTCAAATTGCCAGAGGGTCTCATTTGGCAGGGGTTACGTCCGTCTGCCAAGAATACAATCTCTTTTATTGCCCTAACAAGTGAATGAAATGAAAACATTAACAGTATTAAAACATAGCTCTCCGTGAACAAAGAATTAGCTTCCAGCCACAACAGCCAGACATTTTGGGTTTCACTCCCCATGAATAAACGCTCCTTATGAAGCAGAAACTCCAGACAGCGGCATGGAGACCTCTCACAGACCGCCTGTCCTGCTGCGCTGGGAGCTGCTGATGTAGGACGTTCTGCATATTGTGCGGATATGCTTGTGTACTTTAACCACCCCATCTCACCTGCAGTTTTGAGAGAAGAAGGAAAGCCATCAGGATTTTAGGATCATCATTGATTCACGCCAGGGACCTTCGACAAGCCATTTAACCCCAATTCACTCATCTGAGAAACAGTCACAGTAATACTGCAGAATTTGCTTGCTAGCATGTAGAAACAGTTTAAGAGTTTCAGAT